TCTGCCCCCAAACTGATGGGTAATAGATCAGTTTTTTGGGAATCCCCAATAAAAAAATCCAAAAGTCATTCTTTAAAAAAAAAAAAAAAAGCCTCTACTCACCGGCAGTAGCAGGGGCTCTGGGGCCTCCTGCTACCAGAGTGTCTCTGTAGAGGACCCATCCTCTGGTTGCCTCCAGGACCATGCCCTGCCCAGCTTTCTTCTGCTGCACATTTTTTTGACCCCTGGATATCCATTGGTCTAATTTTGCCCACTTTTGCCCAAATTTGCAGGACAGGAAACATTTTCTCATTCCCCAGAGCTGGAGCGGAGGAGGGGCAGGGGGCTCATGGAAGAGCCCCCCCATGCAGCATGGGGCAGTAGGGGGCAGCAGGGTTCCCCCCCTGCCGGACCGGGGCCAGTGAGGGCAGGGATCCTCCCATGGTCCCCTCCCCACTTCCTCAGCCTCCTTCCCCCTCCTCTATTTACGAGCTCTGAGTCTGGCTGCAGCTCCCTGCTGAAGCCACTGGGGACTGTCCGAATCATCAAAGCTCTCTGAATCTTTTCCAAAGATTCAGAGAGCTTTGAATTGATTCGGACCTTTTAATTGGTCCCCTGATTAATTTCAGATTCAGGGATTCTGCCACCAAATCGGGCCAAATCTCCTCCGAATCTAATCACCACCTGAAGCTTCGCACAGCCCTACTTGTTACATGGTAATTTTGGGTGGCTCCAGGAGCTCTTAACCCCTAGATTGTCTGCACATTAACACCTTAACATAGTTTAAAGTACTCGTTATGCGACTCAAATTTATGCCACTGCAGGGCAGGATTATCTCTTGAGCCGCACAACCCAGCTCCTGTTCCATTAAAGTAGGGCCACTGCACAGATGTGCCACTCAAATTGAAGGCGTGACTGCTCCAAACTAGCAACAAGCCAATCAACATCTGCGCGGCTAAGAATGTAAAGTGTAACAAGGCCCTGAGAAGCATGTTGCACTGAAACCATATCACTTGAGAATTGTATGAAGTCACATCTAGCCACTTGTAGACTCATATCTGGCAGTTGGCCTGTAATTATGATATACCACCTAATGAAGTGAGCATGTGTCAAAAAAAAGGGGAGGCATACTGGAAAGCAAATACAATGATAACACCAATCACTCCATATTACTGTTCATGTTTAAAGCAGTTCCTTTCTTATGCCTACTGGTTTTCTGTAAACTGCTATGTGTAGGTTACAGATCTGGATGGCCGTAACCAGCTGCACTGATCTGTTTCTACTTATGTTTGATGTATGCCTGGGAGCCACCTGAACTATCCTCTGAGCTTTTATCCTTTAAAATATCCTGTGCAATCAGAAATATTTTTCAGACAGAACCAACACCTGGGACATGCTATTTTTTTTCTCTACATTTTTGTTTCATTTACTTATTGAAATGGGCTACCACCTGGAAGGCTATGCATGTGAATCAAATTTAATTAAAAGCAGTCTTGAAAGAAATATCTAAAAGATAAATTACTGTTGCTAGAATTATTCAAGACATTCCTATTGATAAAGTAACATCATTTGTAATCTAAAAACAAGCTGTTTTCAAACAACCAACAGAATTTTAACACCCTGCACACAGAAAAGAAATATAAATCTTTGGAAGCCTCTGGCACTATTCATGTGTTTAAAGCAAGCTTGTCTCAGGTGCTCTGACTCAGGACTTTTTATAAAAGCTTTATTGTTCTGTTTCACACTGTATGGATGATGGAGCCATATCTAGCTTCCTTCTGCTCAGACAACACTGCAAAACAGATGTACACCATTTTCTTCAAGAGAGGGCTCTGCTGAACAGATTGACAAGGTGTGAGTCCATATGCTCATTCAAGCACCTCAGCTGTGTAATATTTCATCCCTCAAGCAAGGACACATTTCATGATTCTTTATTGAACACCGAAAACTCTCCAGTGTTGTCAATTAATGTTCTTCACATTCCAGCCCATTTTTAGAAAGGTCATGCCACACCTTAGAGGGAATATCTGCAAAACTGTGTCCAAAATATTTTTGTGCTTACTACTGTCTCTTCCTGGTACGTTTATCAGATTTTTCCATGAGTTTTTGAAGGAAACTTCAGTTTATTTCTATGCTCTCTCTGAATTTGCCTAATTTAAAAAAAAAGTCCCCCCTTTCCCTGCCCCCCCACCCCGCTCCCCACCCAGAAATACAACTGTGGAATCTACAAAAACTAAACAGTGCCGTGAAGAAATCTGGGAGAAATCAAATTTGCACTTGGTTTTGTTCTCACTCTCAACTCACAAAAAATGGAATTTGAAGATTATAGTATGCCTAGTGTCAAATAGAGCCACTGAATATTCTGAACTAGAATCTGAACAGATTTAACAAGAACAAAGCAGGTTCAATACATATCTCAACAGTGCAAGATTTTGAGAATCAGAATACTAAACAGTTCAAACACATACATATACAAACTGTACTAAGTATTGATTCTGCCAACTACAATACCAACCAACAGTAGCCAAAAGAAGGTTTAAATTCTTCTTTCTCTGTCTTCAATTATCTATTATATATGGCATGGTTATAGTGGTACCCTGCTTGAAATAGCACGGACAGACAGCCCTCGGACTTACAACTTACTTGGTTCCTGAAAACTGCGTCTTAAGTCAAAACGTTGTAACTCAGAACCAACTTTCTCATAAGAAACAATGTAATAAATGGGGGATTGGTTCCTGAACCAAGGCCCAATACCCTATTTTCACCAAAAATAACCCACAATTTTGTACTTGATCAATTATAGATGAGTAATATAGCTACATTAATGTATTTATATTGTAAATAGTAATCATATTGATTTGGAAGGACTTCTTTGACATGACTGCTGACTTTTTGAAGGGCTCTTGGTTGGACTTTTTGAAGGGTTCTTGGTTGGAGTCTTCTCAGGAGTCTTGGCTGCAAGTTTTTCTGGAGTCTGGTCTGCTTTCTTGAAGAAAGTGACCAGGAAGTTTGGACATATGTTCTCCGGGGAGATGAGCGACGCAACAAAACTTGTTCGCTAGTGTGGCACCGCATCAGATAAAGTGTTGTAAAGTCAAAATTGACATCATAAAGCTGAAATAGGGTGTCAATTTATAAACGTTGCAAGTGCGAAACATTATAACTCAAAACGTTGTAAGTCAAGGACTGCCTGTATAAGTTTCAGAATGAGCTAATGTCATCAGATAACTGCCAAGCAGCTCATCAATGAAGAGGGCTTTCTAAACAGCATTTAGATGTTCGTAGGCCATACTTAAATTTTTAAGGAAATATTAAATCTTGGGGAGTAGTTTATCCAGGCCTAATTACTGTTGCCTTAAGCTTAGCAATTTACTTGAAAAACTTGACAAATCTGCCTGGTTCACTGAGCTTCTGAAGCTTGACCAACTCTCTAAGGTATCCATGGGAAAAATGGAATTTAAAGGTTTTAGAAGCCTGTGATGCATCTAAACCCAATTAATAAAGCAACTTTCTTTCCCCTTAAAGCAATTTATTCAGGTAATAAAAGAAATGCTTTTCTCCCTTAGAAAAGGGTGTAGGTGTCACTTTCTGTATTGTTTTAGAGCAAAAACAATGCTATTGTAATACTCAAAGCTCAAGTTATTTATACACCGGGATACTGAATACACTTTTCTGTAGTCATCTTTCTCCACCTTCACAAAATATTCCATACAAAATGCATAAATCAGTTTCAAACATGATTTTCATGAAAACTACAAACGTGTAAGAAATGTGAAGCATTCCCCAAAATGAAAGCCCAATTTAAGTTATGTTATGCTAATTAATTTTGAGGTTAAGTTTCCTGGTGGAAACAGTGGTCCCAGGTCTGCACCTCTTATGATGCCCCAGAAGGAAGATCATAATTGCTGCAGGGGACCAGCTGTCTCAGTTCTCCTGTTTTAACTTACATTGAGATATCCCCTACTTTTTCACAAAAGCTAGCCCATGGAGTGAGGAGAATGGGAAGCTATCAGAACACACTTCATAAGCTACCAGAAGTAGATGCAGTGAGAGAGGCAGGAAGAAAAATTGAATCTTTTTTCTTTTGCCTTCTACTATTGCAGGTTACCTTTTTTTTCCCTCTTCTTCAACCAGGAAAGGTAAGCTTTAC